CGATAAGGAAATCCTTTTCAAAATTACAATCCTGTTATGAGGGATAAAAATTCATCAAAGAAGTATCAAGATGAAGTTAGGCGTATGAATCACTTGAAATCATATAAAAGAATGGATGAGTTTGTTTTTATTCAAAGTCAGTACGGAATTGTGAACATAAATTGAGGTGTAAGAAATTCATGGCTTTGACAATCAGTGAGCAATATGAGACACAAAAATTACTGCGACACCGTACAAAAGGCAAGCAAAATGCTTTGATCACTACAAGAAACCCATATTGTTCCGATATACAAAATAGTATTTCCCGCAAACGTTATTGGTAATATCCGTCATCATAGTCCATAGTTTGCTGATTATTGTACTGGTCACACTCGTAGTACTGTAGTGGAAGAGAATTTGACTTGCAAAGTTGTTGCTGATGCTGATGCTGGTGTGAGGGAACAGTTTGTTCCTGTGGGGTGAGTGGCGGCTGCATCGAAGCTGTATTACTTTGACAGGGCATTCCTGGGTACATTGGATACCTAAAAATACAACTTTTTTTTCATACAGCTGAGACTACCTAAAGGAGGATTTTTAAAGATGACAACAGCTAAAATCCCATGCGAAAACATTGAATTCTCTGAAATAACTGCATTGTCCTATTGTGAAGTTATGGTAGGACTACGGTAACGCTGCCATCACTAATTTAAGGTGTTCATGAACGGCTAATCAACGTTCTGACTTCAGATTGTATCGTTGAACTTTTGGATAATTTGTCGTTTCCTTTTCTCAATCATATCAGTCATCTCTATCCACGGAAGTGGATAAAAAATGATTCTCCATCTATCACAAGCAAATCCTCAAGAACTATTTGTGTTAGTTATAGTTAGACCCTACCTATTATCCACGTTGGTTGTTACTGTGAATGTATGTCGGCTGCTTTCTATATAGAATGAAGGCCGTGAACCGGCCGTAGGACTGGTTGGCAAAGAACCATTGCTATTATTCAAATGCTCTGGGACCATGGATGTGTCCATGTTATGCGTCATGGACATTGCTTGACGCATATCTGAATAGCAAAATAACTGTTCCTGTCAAAGTGTATCGCGGCAAAAACTAACCGCAATACATATCCGGAGTGAGAGTGACATTGTAGTCTGGATCACATTCTGGCATATGATCCAAATTAGGCATAGAGGAGGTGGTATTGATGACATTCTGATAGTTTGATATTGTCGATGGAAGGGAATTGCTGGAAAGGCTGAAAAGCATTTGACTGATGTGAACTTTTTTTGCTACAACTGGGAGAGGGAAAACAGGGTAAATCAACATGAATTCTTGAAGTGCATTACTATTCCACTGTATGAACTATATGAATCTCATCTTTTTT